CTCCTGCTACTTGAAAAAGCCATATGTTTAAATCCTAGTAGCGTTCCTGTTCTCCCGTAGGTGGTTGTGTCTGTGTGTTTCTCCCTTTCTCCATTCCTCAAAATAACTGTTCAAACTGCAGATAGATTTTCAGATCTGCCAGAGTAGTAGCGCTCATAGTGACAGTTAGGTTCTTACGTGTTTCTTGAAAGTAGACGCCTTTGCAGAGGAGAGAAATTCTGTAAATGCCTCCTTTGAACTGATGAGTGCAGGTCTAAGCTCACTCAGCTCCGGATAATTCATTGAGGAGATGGCCCTTATAAATACCAGGGAAGACTTCTTTACCATACTCAGTCGACCACAACAGACAACCTGTAGGAAATCAGACCTTGTTAGCTCCAGTGCCCATGGTTGCTTAAACATTTAAGAGGAGCTGTAAAATTAGACAATTAGATAATCTGTCTGAGAATAATCATCGCGAAGCCTGACTGAAAGGTTAGGGGTGCTTTAGGCTGGGGAGGGCCTTCACCCCTCAGAGCAACTTGAATTGTCACACTTGTATTTCATTTTCCGTTTTCCCCTCCACACATTTGCGGTGTGCGTTAATAAATTAGAAAGTGGGAGAAGTCTATTTGCTTCCTGTGGTTTATTGTACTTCATCTTCCTCCTCTGTATAGTGGGGAAAAATATTGAAGTGGTATTAAAATGATGGGGAAAAAAATGTTATTACTTGAAGGGTTTGGAGGTTCTGCGTGATGCAGCAGGTCAAGTAGGGTAGAAAGACAAGAATTGCAGGCATACCACTTATTTGAAACTGGTTTAGGAACAAAAGTAGCAGGTGTCCTTTGAATGTGGAAATCAGTGACAAAAATGGGCAGTTTGTAGCTATGTTTTTTTGTTTAGGATATGTTAACAAATCATGTAGTTGCGAGTATGCATGTGTAAAATACAAAGAATGTTTGAATCTAACATGTTTGTTAGATTCATGATTACAGATAATGAGTATATTCCACTGAAGTGTTTTCTATAACCCACTGTTCATTTCTGCGATGATGCCTGTTAATGACCTATGAAGTCTTTCGTAAGTCCAACATTACTGTAGTGCGTCAGCCCCTTTTGTCTTTTGCTGTCTTTTTGTTTAGTTCTTAAGGTGTCCTCGAGAAATCATGCTTTTTTTTTCCCTATTTCCTACTCCAGTTCTCAGCATTCAAAGGAAAAAATAAGAATCTCGGCTATTGCTCTGAAGTCTAACAGCTCTGTTGCATTGTGTCTCACTTAATGCCCCTGCTCCTGCTCTTCCTGAGGTTCCAGCACTTCTTTACTTCTGTATTTCATTCGATTTCCTCCAGCTGCTTAGAAGATGTTTGCTCTTTCCTTTTTTTTAATTCCACAGATGTTTTCCTGGATTTCTCCTGTTTGCCTCTATTCTCACCTCCTTTTTTTTCTTGATCATATAATTAGATCTGTCTGTTGGCCACTTTCCATCTCAATTTAGAGTTTTGGGACTTTATGGTGATTTTTATGTCCTTGATGTTTCCATCTTTAAACTAGCATGATTGCAAGGGCTGAAAAAAATCTCTCTTTAAATCCTTCCTTGTTATCCCTTCCAAACTCACAAATCCACACTTTCCTGTCTTTCAGTGGAACTTTTTTGGTTCTGTTTCTTTACTTGTCTTCACCCATCAGATTTTGACATGCATTTTCTGTAAGAGGTGCCCTTCCTCTCTCCCCCATTTCCAAGTGTTTCTTGTGTCTCATGTGCAGTACTGAAATTGCCTTCATCCTACTAATAAACATAATCTTCAGAACAAGTTATTGTACATTGGTAATGACACTTAAGACTGGTAGAAGTATTAAGCAGAGGTGGTCAGGCAATTTTTAATCAACACTTTTTAAACTAGTCTTTTCATAATGCATGCATTAACCCATCCAGAGAAGAAACTGTCTCTTCTGATCTCTTTTTTTCTTGAGTGCTGTTCTTTGGTCTTCCTTTATTTTTCCTGTAGAATTACTACTAGTGTGGAAAAGTACTTTCTGAGGAGATGTTGCATACTGCTCTGTTTACTCTGGAGGTTTTGGTGACCAGAAATAGTTACCTAAGCTGTCTCTGGGCAGTCATGAGATTCTGGCTTGTTGAATGTGTGAATTGTAAGATTGGTGATTTTACAGTTGAGACAAACTTGCCCTGTTATCCTGCTCAGAATTACCATCCAGTACTCAGCATTGCTAAAGTTAGTGCAGTTATTTATAGCAGTTAATTCAGTATGTAATTTCTCAAATGAAGGCCTGAATGAGTAAATACATCAAGAAGCATGAATAAGCAGTTTCTTTAAGTTGTTGTTGCTTCTACGATATAGTATTAAAGCAATGACTTGCACAGATTGATAACTGCTGTGCTCTGAGTTTTCTTTTATAAATTCTTTCCTGAGAAAAGCTTTGCCTGGCTACAGTCTCAGCTGTGTTAATTTTTCTTTCTGTTGCTAATGTTGTTTTACAGATCCTTAAGAATAATCTACTTTGTAAGCATGGCCAGTAATTGCTGCTCAGTGATAAAACATAGACTGAAGGGAGTCTGTGTGCATTAAAGTTCTATATAATGTTTTCTTTACATAAGGTAGTTTTAAACTTTGGAGTCAGTGAACGCTCAGCATTTTAAGCAACTTTAACACTCCATTTCCTTGTTGCCCTTAAATTTAGAATGTTACTTGCTTTTTGACTGAAATCTTCCAGGACTAGCTTCTGCGCATAGGTGAATATTTTAGCAATTTTTAAGTCAGATGTTGAGGGAGTGGTTTGCTTTTATGAAGAATACATCCCTAGTGGTTTTCCTGTTTGCTTTTAAACAATGCTGTAATTTAAGCACTTGGGGTATTTAGTTTAGAACAACCTGGGTTAAAAGAAATAGTAATAAATGTGATTTTAATTTAATGAAGTTTGGGGGTTGTGGTTTGTTTTTTTCCTGGTGTTAGTGCCACAGTACAAATCCTGCCTGCACTGGCATTCCACATCTGCAAGCAGAAACGTGCATACATGGTTCATTTCAATTTTACGCATATCACTAGGCTAAAATGATTGGTTTGCCTAAGTAGAGCACTTCTGTCCTTAAGGTTTGCATTAGTGCAACTGTACCCATGTTGAAATTATATATGTCTGTATGAACAGAGAAGGCAAATATGTAGAAGATACATGCTATGAATGTGCACTTTATACACTCTACTCAGTTAACTTCATGATGTAATGACAGTTAAGATGTATAATTCTGGGGCAAGCACCCATATCCATTTTTCAGCAGGTTACTTTAAACACTGGGGATTTGATTTGAGGTTTTGTGTGCTTTATCGTTTTTTTAACAGAGAGACCAATGGAGTTGTTGGGATTAATTTTTGTTTATGGTGTAGCACTCCTCCAGGACTGAACAGGGAAGTTGTGAGTGTAGTTAGCCTTTAGGTGCTCCTGTTGTTGCAACCTGCAGCTGTTAATTAGTAACATGCAATTGCTCTGCTCTGTTATGTAAAACACAGAGGTTTTTTTCTTTTTTGTAATTTGCACATACCTAAAAATTCTGTTATTTTGCCAGTACTGCATATGAGTAATTGAGGGGCAGGGATACTCTTCAGGGAAGTAGAAGCAGACTGTGGGAGATCATAGGAGGCATAAGATACTGCTTTGGTGACTGGAGAGAGTTCCAGCTTTAACTCTTTCCTTGGTGAAGTAGGTTGACAGGATCTGCATATGTTGGGCAGGGAAGGATCTGTATATGTTGTGCAGAGAACATGCTGACTGACACTTCTTCAAGCAGAGACTGCTAAAGCACTGATGTGCACTTAGGGAGCCTGCAGCTGAAGAAAGCCTAAGATTTAATGTAACTTTAATTTTGATATTTTTTGAGTAAGGGATTTCAGCTTGCTTAATCAGTTCTTGGTATAATTGTATTGTATTTAGTAGAAAATCCCACCTTTAGAGAATAGGAATCAGTTGCATTTTGTGCTACAGAGGGATATCAAATAGACTGAACTTTTATTTCACTGGACTTCTGGTAAAATTTCACCAGTTCTGTTTTGCAAAGGGACTGTTCCAACCAAATCAGCATCGAAACTTGTATATTAACATGAATACCCTATGTTAAGGGCAATTTCCTGTTCAGATGGCTTCCTCCCCATTCTCTTGTCTCACACTCTTTTGTTTGAGATTCTGTGGGAAAAATGAGCTCTGTCATTTTACCTTGTGGGATAACTGTTGTGTTCAGCAGACCATTTATTCTTTGTCTGTTCAGAATTATTCCAAGGTAAACACCATAATCTTTAGCTCAGCTATGGTTTCACTGCTGCAGACTTTTTTTTTTTTTTTTACCCTTTAGTCATGAAAATCTTTTGCTGTCAGTTCTACGGGTATCTGATGTGTTATGAGGACCATGCAGTGTTTGCAGTGTGTGTTTACAGAGAGCTTCTGCAACTGTTGTTTGGGTACTTTGCTGGTATTTTTTTTATCTGTACATTACTCACTATATGGTAGCTTTACTTAACTGTAGTTTTGAAAGCATGATTAACATTTGAATTTCTTTGACATTTAAATATGACAAAGTCATCCTGTGATCTATTTATGTCAAGAGTTTTTTCAACACTGGAGTTTTCCATTAACAGCAGGATCTTCATTTGATTTGTTTAGGAGTCATAATCTTAGGCTGGAGCCTTAGCTTCACCCCAGAGAAAATTATTTCTAAACATATAGTACAGCTGCACTGCAGGGGTTATATAAAATGTGCTGAAACTTTGAGTAATTACTCTACAGTATTACATTTGCATGTTTCCACATTGCAAATAGTTTAAAAAACTGACAACAATGGAATTTTAAAACAACCTCCATTCATCTGCTCCCCACATGAAAACTTCACAGCCACCACAGGACAGAATACAACTTCGGTGCTCAAGCCAGAAGCAATGACATTTCGCTAGACAAAATCTCCAAACTATTTTATTTAAACCATCAAAGTGGAAAAAACAGAACATTATGTTTTATTGTAGGTTCGGGAACTGCAAACGCGTTTGCAAAGCGTGCAGGCAACAGGCCCATCCAGCCCAAGTCGTCTCACTTCTGCCAATCGACCCATTAACCCCAGCACGGGAGAGCTGAGCACAAGCAGCAGTAGCAATGACATTCCCATAGCCAAGGTGAGCTATTGCATGTTGAAGCAACACCTCATTATCTGCAAAAAGCAGGCTTCATTTTGCACAGCTGCTGTGCAAGCATGTGATTAACTAGGAGATACCTAGAATCCCCAGAGTTTTCTGGGGTCCTGAGCAGGCCCATGAAGTTGAGCTGGGGAAAGGAATTAGTGCTAATGATTGTAATTCACTCAGTTACAACACAGGGGTCAATTTTACAGTAGTTTATTTCAAGTTTGCAAGTGTAGCTAGTGAACAAATGCATTTTGTGTGATCTTTATGGAGTGTGGGTTCCTGTGTAACCTGTGCAGCATTCTGACTTAACAGATCGCTGAAAGAGTGAAGTTGTCAAAAACAAGATCAGAGTCTTCATCGTCTGATAGACCTGTCTTAGGATCAGAAATCAGCAGCATAGGGGTAAGGACTAAAAATTATGTGCATGCATGATACCTTCTCAAGATGGCCTGTGTTCCATTAAAAGCAGCATTGTTTTCTTACTAAGTTATATGTGAGCTAACTGAAAATGCTTTAAAAGTTATTTTGAGAAAATATTTCAACAGAGAATATTTCACTCAGTATTAAGGCATAATTTTCTCATAACTGGTAGCTAGAAATCATTCTCTGAGTGACTTCAAGAGGATAATTTTGGAGTAAATTCTTCCAAAACAGTGCTCTTCAAGAAAAGACTATTCAGTCATTTCACAACTTCTAATCAACAGAGAAGTGGGTTCTGCTTTGTAATGCCAATGCAAATCCATAACACTGTTGTAACTGTGTGTTAGTATTTGTTTCACTGAAGAACTTAGCTCTGACCTTTTCCTAAGCTTTTCAAGAAAGTCAATAACTTGCATGTCAGGCTTTTTAAACGTGTGTAGAATTTTAAATCAAAATAGTTTCTTAAAGTGGAAATTGTAAATGTTCTATTCAATTTAAATTTCATATTAAAACCTGAATAATTAATGTCTTGAAGTGAGTGCCTACAAGAAAGTGCAGCTCTCCATGCAGCCTGCCTGTGGGAGGAATCCAGTGGTTATCTATTCATAATGATCTATTAACTGCCCTGTGCAGGTGTCCAGTACTGTGGCTGAACATTTGGCACATTCCCTCCAAGACTGCTCAAACATCCAGGAAATCTTCCAGACCCTTTATTCACATGGATCTGCTATCTCTGAAAGTAAAATTAGAGAGTTTGAAGTGGAGACAGAGAGATTAAATAGGTAAGGTGAAAAGTTAGATATGCTCAGATGTGTTTTCTGCTATTGGCTTTGTTAAAGTTACTACTTTTTAATGCTTTTTGAACATTTCTTAGTTCAGTTCCAGCTCAACGGTGGCAGCTGCAGGTAAACATGGAAGGTAGCTGATGAAGACAAGATTGAATTGCATGCTAAGGATTCATTCCATCACTACGGCAGTTTGGTCATGAATTATTAGACCATCATGGCACCTTCACCTGTGACAATTTGCACTGTGGAGTGTCCCTCTTTATGACTGACAAAGTAGACATGGCATCTTTTTTCATAAGACCCGTCACTGCTAGAAATAAGAAATCCCCTAACTTATTCTCTGTCATTCTGGAATTAGCTTGCTTTGTTTTGTCCTGGAGGAACAGAATCATAGCATTAACTGTATCAGTGAATGTACTGCTGTATGGTGGTGTGCCAAATATACCAGCAAATAGACTTCTGTCTGCAGAAGAGAGATTGCAGCTCTCTGGTTGCAGTTAAAATACTGTTGGTGTCATCCTTCAATAAGCTTTATTTGTTTATTGATGCTTCCTGTCCTCTTTGGCACACAAAATAAAATCTGTGGATCAGGAATGTGAGAATTGTGTCTCAGCATGTTTCCTTCCAAGTTCTCTCTTCCACACAACTATCTCAAATTTAGTCTGATCAGTGCAATATCTCTTTTATGTGTAGCTCATGTTTTTGTAGTGCTGCAAAATGTGATCCTTTTTTTCATTTTTCTTTTTTCTTTTCTTTATTTTTCTGTGCACTGCACAATTACTCCTTGACACTATGTATCATTATAGGATGTGTCAAAAAAGCTCTAGGAGGTGAAGCATCTGAGAGTTCAATCAGTTAGGAGAGTCAGGGCTTTATTCTGATCGCTGAATAAATAGCATACTAGCCCTTCTCCTTCTTCTTTGGTTTGTTAAGAAGTCAGTGATTTTAGAGTTCTGGATGGCACTAATTTCTTCATTAGCTGCCTGTCCAAATTTTGAAATAATTTGCCTGTTTCTGGTGTATGTCCAACTCTTGCGATTAGGCATAGTACATTGATGTGTAGTGCAGTTATCAGCAGTAAAAATAAACAGTAATACTGGTACTCTGGAGCTTCATTTTCAGATTCAGAGTTAACCTCATTGAGAAGAATATTACAGTTAAGTTCTGATATGAGCTTCTATTTGACTATTGCAAGAACTTTTGGAGATTTAATTGCCTCATTGAAACTTCATATTTTGAAAGTTACTTCTCTAATCACAGCCAAATACTTCAAGGGAAACGTTTTTTCTGGATGTACCAAAGAAAGGGGGCATTTGTGATCCCTACACACACCCACACATTGCACTGGTGAACGTGCCACTGTTGTGGTTTAACCCCAGCTACTCTTTCACCCCCATGCAGCCACTCGTTCACTCAACCCCCATGGGGTTGGGGAAGAGAATCAGAAGGGTAAAAGTGAGAAAACTCTTGGGTGACATAAAGACAGTTAAATATGTAAAGCAAAATTTGCACATGCAAGAAAAGTAAAACAAGCAATTCATTCACCCCTTCCGAATCACAGGCAGGTGTTCAGCCATCTTAAGGAGAGCAGGGCTCCATCACGTGTAACAGGTGCTTGGGAAGACGAATGCCATCACTCCGAACATTCCCCAACTTCCTTCCCCCCAGCTTTATATCCTGAACATGACGTCAAATGGTGTGGGATATCCCTTTGGTCAGTTGGGGTCAGCTGTCCCAGCTGTGTCCCCTCCCAACTTCTTGTGCACCCCCAGCCCACTCGCTGGTGGGTTGGTGTGAGAAGCAGAAAAGGCCTCGACTCTGTGTAAGCACTGCTCAGCAGAAACTAAAACATCCCTGTGTTATCAGCACTGTTTTCAGCTCGAATCCAAATCATAGCCCCATAGTAGCTACTAGAAAGAAAATTAACTCTATCCCAGGCAAAACCAGCACAGCCACTTAAAACAAGAACCAAATGTGTCAGCAAGAAGTGAGGAATGGAAGCAGAAAAATTAAGCACAAGGTTGATATGAAACTATCCTTCGCAGTCTTGTGGCTTCAAAATAAGGGTACAGCTTTCTGCTTGCTGCTGTTGCACAGCATTATGATTCCATTTCATGGGAAGGAGAGGAGAAGAGTCTGTTCTAAGAGAAATTACTGTGCTCTTGGCTCTTCATACGGGACACAGTACTGATATTGCCACCTTCATTAAAAGCCTTATGTAGACCAAATGGTATTTTTTTTTTATTAATTATGATTGTTCTAGAATTTTCAGGACAGTGTCTGCAAGCTAAGCTTGAAGTTTGCACATTGCTTCCTTTTCTACAGCCGTATTGAGCACTTGAAATCCCAGAATGACTTGTTGACAATAACACTGGAAGAGTGCAAGAGCAATGCCGAGAGGATGAGCATGCTTGTTGGGAAGTACGAGTCCAATGCTACAGCCCTCAGGCTTGCATTGCAGTACAGGTATGTACCTAGGCAGGGGGTGACTCAGCCAGAAAAAGAGGGAGCCGGGGAGGCTTGGTGTCTTTGAGAGTTAAGTTGTTGGTGTGCCATAGTAATACTGTTTGTTTCCTCCCTGAAAAAATGCCCCTTTGGTTAAACTACTTGACAAACTACAGAACTGAAGTTACTGATACAAATTTATTTCAACCCTAGTTCACCAGCAGAAGTGGACTCAATCTAATAGCAATAGACAGATTTATCTTTTCATTTTTAAATACTGAGTCAACATTTACGTTAGAGGTTGTGTGTGGGCTCAAACTGTGTCTTCAGTATCCGGTCTTAAGACACAAGTTCTCTGTATTAGTCTGGCAACTTTCACAAGACCCGTGGACCAAAGAGTAGTACCGTACTCCACATAATTCAGAGTGACTTTATATTGCATCAGATGGAATTGTGGATGAATTGCTTAGTATTTAGTTACAAGTTAATACAAATTTGTATTAAACTATATGTAAAAAAGATGGTGTTGTTTAACTCCTTCAGCTGCAACAAATTGGGAACAGGCAGTTCTGATCTTAAGACAAATTGTGTGCCTTTTAAATAATTTATTGTTACTGTCAGCCTTGAGCAAATTACAAGGAAATGTAAATAGCAAACAGTTTCTTTTCAGAAACTTTAGAAATGACTGACCCACCACTGTATTTAGAAGGTGTTGTGTTGTAAGGAGGAAACTCTGACAGCCAGGATGGAGCAACAAGTATTTGTCGTATATTTTCTTTTCTTTTTACTATACTCTGTATAATATAGTTATAGTGTATAGAATACTGTAACTTGTATAGTAAGAAGGCCTGAATAAAGTTTCTCAAAGGGATCATGTCAACGACCATTTGTATTGTTGACTGTTTCAAACGTGCTTCTGGACATCTGCTTTCACTTCACATCAGGCCATTCTCTTCTGTTTAACTTGTTACTTTATTTGAGGCCAACCTGGGACCATCATAAGGAAAGACAAACTGGTGAATGGTTGTGATAGCAGCTATATAGAATCATAGAATCTTAGAATCATAGAATGGTTAGGGTTGGAAAGGACTTTAAAGATCACCTAGTTCCAACCCCCCCTGCTATGGGCAGAGACACCTCCCACTAGACCAGGTTGCTCAAAGCTTCATCCAGCCTGGCCTTGAACACCTGCAGGGATGGGGCATCTGCAGCTTCCCTGGCAACCTGTTCCAGTGTCTCACCACCATCAGTAAAAAATTTCTTCCTAATTTCTAATCTAAATCTACCCTCTTTCAGCTTAAAGGCATTATCCCTTGTCCTGTCGCTACACTCCCTGACAAAGAGTATTTCCTCATCCCTTCTGTAGGCCCCCTTTAGGCACTGAAAGGCTGCTGTAAGGTCTCCCCAGAGCCTTCTCTTCTCCAGGCTGGACAACCCCAACACCCTCAGCTTGTCCTTGTATGGGAGGTGCTCCAGCCCTCTGACCACCTTCGTGGCTCTCCTCTGGACTTGCTCCAACAGATCCATGTGTTTTTTATGTTTGGGTCCCGGAGGTGGACGCAGTATTCCAGGTGGGGTCTCACGACAGAGAATCTCCCTCAAGAGTAGAGGGAGAGAATCATGAGAGAAGAGTAGAGGGAGAAAATCGTGAGAGCAGAGTAGAGGGGGAGAATCACCTCCCTCGACCTGCTGGTCATGCTTCTTTTGATGCAGCCCAGGACACGGTTGGCTTTCTGGGCTGCAAGTGCACGCTGCTGGTTTGTGTTCAGCTTCTCATCAACCAACACCCCCAAGTCCTTTTCCTCAGGGCTGCTCACAAGCCATTCTCCTCCCAGCCTGTATTTGTGCTTCAGATTGCTTTGACCCACATGCAGAACCTTTCACTTGGCCCTGTTGAATTTTGTGAGGCCCACCTCTCCATCCTGTCAAGGTCCCTCTGGATGGCATCCCTTCCCTCCAGCGTGTCCACCACACCACACAGCTTGGTGTCATTGGCAAACTTGCTGAGGGTGCACTCAGTCCCACTGTCCATGTCACCAGCAAAGATGTTAAACAACAGCGGTCCCAATACTGACCCCTGCAGAGCACCACTCATCACCGGTCCCCACCTGGACATTGAGCCATTGACCACAACTCTTTGAGTGTGACCATCCAGCCAATTCCTTATCCACCGTGTGATCCAACTGTCAAACCAATGTCTCTCCAACATAGACACAAGGATGTCATGTGGGACAGTGTCAAATGCTTTTCATGTGCCTGGGTAGATGATGTCAGTTGCCTTTCCCTTATCCACCAGCACTGTGGCCCCATTGTAGAATGCCACCAGATTTGTCAGGCACGATTTGTCCTTGATGAAGCTGTGTTGGTTGTCACCAATCACCTCCTTGTTTTCCATGTGCTTAGCATAGTTGCCAGGAGGATCTGCTCCATGATCTTGCCAGGCACAGAGATGAGACTGACTGGCCTGTAGTTTCCCAGGTCTTCCTTATTTCCATATTTTAAGAAATGGGAGGTTTGTTTCCCCTTTTCCAGTCAACCAGAATGTGATGACTTCTCAAATATGATGATTAGCGGCTTGGCAACTTCATCTGACAGTTCCCTTAGGACCTGCGGATGCATCTCATCAGGTCCCATGGACTTGTGCACCTCCAGGTTCTTTAGTATCTCTGCTGCTAGACAGCTAGTAGGGAATCATGCGGTTCATCAGCTACCTCTTTGTTTTGTTGCTGTTGCAGGTATTCTTCCTCTCTAAATTGCAGATATATTGTGTGAGATTTTTGTTTTCAGTGATTTGTGTTCTCTTTCAGTGAACAGTGCATAGAAGCATATGAGCTGCTGTTGGCATTGGCAGAAAGTGAGCAGAGTCTCATTCTTGGGCAATTCAGAGCTGCAGGTGTTGGTTCTTCTGTTGGTAAGATGTCAATGAATCGCTTCGTTTAAATGTGGGGGTTTTTTGCATGTCAGTTAGCATTTGAGTTAGTTGTAGTAGTGAATCATCTCATGACCCATCATTTAAGACTGCTCTCTGGTCTTTTCTTGTTTTTAACTAATTAAATAATTTTACACACCCAAAAAAATAGGGGAAAAGAAAAAGAGAGACTGGAATGAAATCATAAAATTCACCAGCAATTTAAGTTAACCTATTTATACTATCACAAGAGGATGATGCCTCTTCTGGCAGTGGTGAGGCTGCTACAGGCATGAAACTGTACAGAATAGAATTATTAAACAATACTCATGAGTTTATGTGGCTTAGGGCCATACAGCTGTGGTATCTGCAAGTACAGATTTTGTTTGAGTCAGCAACATTGACTCCCCTAGAAGCTGAGAATAGCCTATGAAAAACTGTGATTAAGACAATACAATGGTGTCAAAAAAAATTGTTCTATTTTTCCCCCATATTTTACCTTTGCACTGAAATTTTAAAACATTCTATCTTATGTTTTACTGTGTTGTCGGGGTTATTAGCCTATGTGTTCTGGGTTTTTCTTATTTTGTGGATAGTTAATCTTGTGTCTAGGTGGTGTTGGTTTTTAATATACTGCTTGCTAAGAGCTCTTCATGGTGTGCTGAGGCTTGGTTGAGACAGTATTGTAGTGCTGGCTTCTCAGGCATCACTGAAGTGTAAAAGGAAGGCTTTTAGAGACAGAGTGACCATCTGGCCTTAAAGCCGCAGGACTGACATGGTCAGCCTCTTCTTTCGGGTGACTTGATGCACTCAGCCCACAGTTGTTTTGCTGCTCACTGTGGCCCTCATTTTGCATCTCTCCCAGTGCTAGAAGCAGGCCCTTGTGTACCTATCTTGGCTTGTGCAGTGTGTGCCATACACTAAACATTAGAGGGAACATCTGAGATTCTCATCCACCTTTCTTCCACGCTCTGGTCATTCCTTTCCACAATGTGCTAGGGAGCTTTCCCTCCTGGCAGAGGTCAGTGGCCAGCAAAAGTGACTTTAGTCTTGGATTTTCTATTCACATAGGTGGCAGAAAGAAATCTTAGAAGGGAGAAATACTTTGGGTTTGAGTAGAGTTTCATCTCACACACATTTTATGAAAGAGAATGTAGTTTAGTTTTTATATAGGTGTCTGTCTACAGCTCTTAATTATGGTATTATCAGTTACAGCCCTCTGATAGAGATAGTGCCAGTTTCCCATTACATAACACAGCTTGGAGAAAGTTCTGTTTAATTTACATACCTTTACTTCACTGTGAAATTTGATTAAAACACCTAGATAAAATAGCAGATTTTTAGTTTGAAGATCGGTCAAGTTTTATATCAACATCTGTGAGTGGAAAATTAATGGGAGTTGCTTCTTCATCACTTAGAGCTGAGCATATCCAGCTGCTCTTAACAGAACATTCTTCCGTCCTTTTTTCTGCATTGACGTTATTTCTAGTGCACACACTTCACTTAGTAAGTGTGAAGTATGGGTAATTGGTCTTTGACTCGAATAAGGATGAAATGAAAATCTGACATAGAGCAAACTGGGTTTTTTACACTCTCTTGACAACTTTGCATTGTATTTGCTAAAGTATGAATATATTGTAGCTTTGTTCAGACTTTCAGTGTAGCCATTAATGTGCCTTACTTTGATGATTTAACTCCAGCTGGAGTTAGAACTATAAGAATAGTGAAAGTGGTGGTTTCTGTCCTCCCTCTGCTGAAGGGGATGGCTTACCAGTTGCAGAACTACTAGAAATTATAGGAAATTAGCAAACGCCAGTGCTAGTTTTCTTTTGGTTTAGAATGCATGACTGTAAACTCTGAAAGGCTGCTCCCAAGAAGTAAGGCAGTTCTTCCAGCTGGAGGGGTGACTTGTAAGAAGGCGTTCTGGCAAACCATTAGGCTTGTGATAAAGGTGCTTGTGAGAAGAATCACTGGAAATTACCACAATGTGAAACAGCACTGGACTGACTGGAGTAAGAGTTGTAATTTAGGCTCCAGCTTTTCCAGCGCTTTATGACTTTGAGCATCCTAACCTAATCCTAATGCACACCCTTACAAACAGATAAACTAGCTAAGATAAAACATCACTTAACACACATACCCAGAGCAACAAGTACTTGGAGCTTGTGGCTGAGAGGGAGATGAGGCCAGCAGGCTAGTTACCACTGATGATCATACAGTGGTAGGTGGAGTGAAGTTGCTTTTACATCACAGATCGGTATTTTATTGTCATCGTCTTGGTATAAACTGAGAGCATGTAGGAGCATCTCTACTCTTGCTTTAATTTCTATCACCCTCCTCAAAGCACTGAAACAGATTGTTTGTTTGAAAACTAGGGGACCAGATAGGTGATGAAAACGTCACCCAGATGCTTAAGAGAGCTCATGACTGCAGGAAGACAGCTGAGAACGCAGCAAAAGCCTTGCTGATGAAACTAGACGGCAGCTGTGGGGGAGCCTATGCAATCACTGGCTGTAGTGTGCAGCCCTGGGAAAGCCTGTCATCCAACAGCCACACAAGGTAACTGGAACTCATCTGCTCTCCTAATTCCCAAGTTGATTTCAGACCAAAAGTTATGTTGTCTTGTATTTGCTGAACTACCTCCCTCACCTCAGTCCACTGGCTTCTTTGCTTTGCTTTATAAGTCAGCATGCCTCAGTGGTTTCATTGTCTTTAGACTTTGAGCAGGTCTGGCCGAGAAGGGTTTTCTATAAATGTGTTGCAAATGGGTGACTCTGAACTTTGATCTTCCTCATAAATGGCAAAACCATTATATTTGTTTTACTTCAATGACTTTCTTACTGTTTTGTTGGAACTCAGATCACATCTTACTCCTATCTATTGTACGCAGACAGTACAGATGTATGGAGAACCAGAGATCAGAAATATGCTTCCATCAGTGTTTTGGAGTGCTCAAGAATTGTTTTCTAAATGTTGTAAATTTGGCCATTTTGTTTTAAACCATTTCCTCTCCCTTCTAATTCGCCTGTGCTGCCCTCCAAATTCTTCCTTCCCACACTATTCTTTCACATGTGTAATGGCAAATGAACATCATGACAAAGTGGATTCTTCCAGGAAAGGCTGGATATTGCAGCTTTTCTGAAGACCTATGAAATAACGAAACTTAAATGAGCTATTATTGCAGAAGTGTTCCAGTTCAAATACATCTGTTAGCAGCTTCATTTTGAGTTGTTGCCTGCCTGCAGTGTAATTGTGCTCTGTGCCATGAATATGTGTGCTTATGTATGGATGCAAATTTGGCAAGCATCCTGGATAAATATAGATGAACATTTTTCTTTTTAATAGTTATTTTGGTGTCTCAGATTCACTCTAAAGCTTCATTTTATTTAATTCAGTTTTTGAGCAAATTCCTTATTCAAATGCTGTAATTTTTTGACACTTTTAGAAATTTATTTTAGTACTCTATCATTTCCTCGTCTTGCTGATGCCTCCTCCAAAGGATCTTATTTCATGCCATGTGACCAGCATGGAATAGCTAAAAAGTGAGCAGAAAGGTAACCTGAGGGAGCAGGGTCTAAATGTGAGTTAAATTTTAGCATTTTATTCAGTGAAGTTTTATGGTGCACTTTTTGTCCAAGAAAGCTGTAGCTTTATTCAGAAATTATTGTGGCAGCCTCTGTGCTAGTAACACGTTGATCACTCATCATACCAGAAGTATTTACTAGCCTTGGAAAGAAGTTAAAGCTGTTTCAAACACTTGACTTGCCTCAGTCTGTGTGCATGTATGCCATATCTACACCTGCGTGTGAACATCTTGTGGGTGGCCACATGTAGGAACACCTCTACCTAGGCTGAGTTTATTTTCCATTCCATCATTTGAAAGGGTTATTTTTGGTTGTTCATAACTACCTCAGTGTTTTTCTTCTTTGTGAGATATCATGTAGTCAAGGCATAATTTTTTTTTTCCTGAAAACAATTAAGATAGTTTCCAGTATTGACAGATGGGAAATTGAGAGGAGGGAGGGTTGGGGATGGGGAGCACTGTTTTTGTTTTAGTGTTTGTTCTCCTAGCCTTTCACTGAAAGTGTTCGGTAGGAATATAGTCTCTACAATCCTTGCTTTATTGAACATAATTTTTGGTTTTTTGAGGAGGATGATAAGGGAGGGAGGTGTGTGTGTTTGGAGAAGAGAATCGTCCCTCATGCTCACTATTTACTGTGAACCTTTGGTGGTCAGCTTGCAGTGTGTGTATGTGTGCATGTAATGTGTTGGTTGAGTAGATAAAGTTTCACCAGAGTATGATTAAAATGGCATAGGATTTCAAATTTCATCAGTATAAATTTTGTTGTGAAATTTCATGTATTATCTGTTTTGATGTATGTGCAACATGAGAGAGAAAAGCTTCTCTCTCTCACTCAACAGGCACACGGCAAGTCACAAACTCGTCATATGGTCATCCTGATCTGATCATCACTTATACATTGTCGTCCCTGTCCCCTCCCCCCTCACCTAAAGTAATTCGTCTTTGTTTAAACGTACATATCACTGAAAATATTTCTGAAACTTTAGCTTGTCTGTGAAATACAAATCTTCTCTTTGCTTTTGTTGTGTTTAAGTGATGTGTAGTAGAAGTGTTTTCAGATTTCTCCTTCCTTTTGACCCTGTCTCAAAATAAAGGCACCCCCTCTTCAGATTACAGACACATGACATCATGCCAGCCCGTAGATGGAAAATCTGTGTTAATTTAGAAGGCGCACACTCTTCTATACTTATATCAGTAAATGTTCTATCTCAGGTTTAAAATCTGAATATTTTGTCTTTAACTCTCTTCCCCCTGTCATTCTGGATCCTTTTTGTTTCTTTATCCAGGACCCTGCTCATGCTTTTGGAGTTATCCTGCACATGTTGCCAGCAATCTCAACCCATTCATGTGTACTCTTGTCACTTGGCTCCCTGCTGCTCTAGACAGACATCCCATTGCCACAGACCCCCAGGCCTCTCTGATTCTTTGATGTTGATGGTTTCCATTTCCTGCAGGCTTAATTTTTTTTTTTTGTCTTAAAGAACTTGTCAGTCTATAAAACTGGGGAGTAGAACAAGCCCACATCACTAGTGAGTGCTGTGTGAACACCATTTGAAGACCACTGCACTGGAATGAAAACATTTTTACATTATATTGTTCAAACATATTCCATATCTGCAGAACTGATCTTTTGCCATAGCTGTTTCAGTGTTGCAGGCTTTTAGTTGCAGATATGTGTTGCTGCCTTTTCCCTTTGACGCCAGCTGAGTAAAGAGATAGTGGATGATGAAGACTCTTCTTTGCTGAGACTTGTGACAAATGAGTAATTCTCCCTGCTGTTCGAAATCCTGTAGAATAGGGACTTATAATGGAATTGTTGACCCATCTTTAGCTTTGGCATTTAAAATGAGATTCTGAATGTCAAATCACTGAACGCATTACTGAGAGTAAATGCTTGGTGAGCCACTAGTGACAAGTGGTTAAAGGCTATGAAAGAGGGAGCAACTGAAATGAAAAGAAATTAAATGCAATGAAAGAGTATCACAGAGTTTGTTAGTCATGAAGTGAATGAAATAATAGCAAGCATCTCAACTCATTTGGCTGGCAGCAGAACAATAATGTTGCCAATTCATTTTTTGAAAATAGAAATAAGTCTGCAGTGTAGTTGGAAGTCATAATTATTTTAATGGACAGAAGCTAACTATAGAACATATATTGCCAACAGGGTTTGACTGCACCTTAAAAAGAAGGAAACAAAAGAGAAGGAAGGACGCCAGTTGTAACACTGACTGAGAACAGTGGATTTTATTCCCTGCAGTGCTAGTAAGCCCAGCCTTACATCTGGATTCGTGGGTGGAAAGATCTGGTCTCTCCCTCTGCAGAGGGAATACTTTTCAGTATTAGGCAGTGTCACAAAGTATCTCAACTCAGCCAAATGCAGGACTATGTCTCTCATCAGAATCACCTCAGATTTCAGATAAGTAGCTGACAGATAAGATCATCTTGGCTGAAGTGTGAAAATAAGTTATTTAGAAATATCCCAATGGATATCTTAATGTCTATGAGACATTTCATTTCTGGACTGAACTAGTCTCAGAAGGAACCAGAGGTTCAGATTTTAGACAAATATACTGTTGTTTATCTTTTGGCTGGTTTGAGCATTTTTGGGTTTCCCAGGAAGTTACTGGTTTTTGGCATTGTGCTGTTTCAGATCTCACACCACAATATTCACCCAAAAAAGATGGTTGGCCCAAGTATACTGTGTGTCAGATGCATTCTTTACAGTGTAAGGTTGCTTGCAGACACTCAGGCAAGTTTTGTGGATTCAGTTCTGACATAATTCTTTCAGTTCTGTCAACTTTGTATTATCTGCACCATGGCTGAATTGCAGGTTTGTTTATTTATTGACTTGGTTTTTAGCAGATGAACTGAGGCTCATACAGGGTTTTACAGACAAAATTTTGAAGCTTACAGAAGTTACTCACACTGAGGCACTGCTGGAAGCCTTATTTATATCCTTCCAATGCATTTTATACACACATGTGCATGCAAACACACAACATGCATGCCAGCAGATAAAACCGCATGCTATACTACAGCAACCTGCATATTTTCCACAGCTTTATATGAAAATTAATTTGACATCATCCAGGCATTACATCATTGTAAAAGACTTGAGGGATGAAGCAAGTGCGGAGAACATTTATCTTTGCTTGTTCTGAATACAACAGCAATGAGAATGAGCTAATTGACGTTCTCTTCCCTCCAGGTGTGATGAAATTATGATCCTTTCTCTATCCTTACCTCATGCATGGGAAATGAGAAACTACAGGTCTCTTGCAACAGTTTCATGTGTTTTTTGAATGGATGCATTGTAGTACATGTGCATTCTGTCAGTCTGTTTTCCTTTGTCCTGGTTGCTATTAGAAGGGAGAGCAATATCTGAAATTCAGGTTCATATGCTTACCAGCTGTGGGCCTTTAAATAGAGCAGCAGTGGACTAGCATTATGGCTGTGGAGAGCTGTATGGTGGGGCTTTTGGGGGAGCACACCCTGGCAGAGCTGTGCTGTGGGAGTTCAGAAACACTGCAGCGTTGTTTCCATTGCTCATCGTGCATCCTCATTTTTACAACAGTCTGAAGTGGGCTTTGTACCCCAGCTTTCTGCAACCCATACTGCTTCCAGTCTTCTGGGTGAGGGCTTGCTGCTAAATGTGAGGGGAGAGGGAAGGTTCTTGTCCCTTTTCATGTTGTCTGAGACAGCTTCCCTGCTAAGCTCCCCTCAACTTCTTTTTAAAAAGGAAAAGGAGAAGAAAAAAGAAAAACAAGGAAAAAAAAAAGAGCAGCTTGCTAGCAATTCACCAGAGGAGCCAACTCAGCTTCAGGCAGGCAGGCAGCCAGGACTGAAGTAAAAGCAGCCTGAGTATCTCTGGCACCAACCCAGACTGCCTTCCTCATTTTGGACTGTTCTCCACTAAAATATATGTGCATAGCTGTGGATCTTTAATGGCCAAAATCTGAATGCCCAGTGACTACAAGGTCCAATACAAGATAACAATAGACTTTCAGCATTTTTGCTCAGGTTTCATTCCGATCAGGAGAGCTAGGTTTTCTTTCCTTTTACAAGTGAAAACTGAGATGAGTTCTTTGTGTCCCAAGATTTGAAGCCTGTGTAGGCTTTAAAAGCTGTCCTCCCTCCAGCAACAGCTGTTTTACATTTAATCCAAGAAAGCTGTGCAATTGCTCTCTTCGGGTGCTGAGGAAACTTATAACATGACTTCAGTACAGAATTACGTATTTCTCACATTTTCTATCCCCATGATTCTTACGTCAATATCTACTTCAGAGAGGCATCTTTAGACTCAGTAAAGCAAAAATTTTTAAGTGTTTTGAGATTCTCTAGTAAAGAACTAAGTATGAACAAAAGTTCATTTCAACATGAAGATATTTCTATGTAGTGTATGTACGGGGTGTTTTTAGCTTCACTGGAAATGGAAAATGGAAATGGATGAAAACAAAAGCAAAGACCAGTTTACACTTGTGGAAGACATTGCACCTATTATCCCTAAGAAAAGGAATGCATCATGGGAAATTGACAGAGAACTGTAGTAAGGAACTGTAATGCAGTATTTCATGAGAGGGCAGAATTCTGAGAAATCTTTGTTGACCTGCCAGTCCTCTATCTCCTCTAAGGCTGTGCTTGGAATTTGTGGGAAGATTGGCCATTATTTGAGGCACTTAAAAATCGATGTAGCTTTAGATGAAGTAGAACCAAATTAAAAGAGAAAAATCAAGCCTGTTTTGATAGACTTCCCCTCTTTCACATGCATAATATATTTTAGGACATCATCATGATGCTCACAGCATGTAGCGGGTGGGGCTTTTTTTCTTCCTACAAAAATGTTGAACAGCAGTGCAATTTGATACAGAAAGTGATTTATTCCCCTGCTGATAACTGAGGTCATCTAGCATTCCAGACAAGCACAGTTAATGGATGACTTATCCTTCACCCGACAGCTGATCACAGGACCTCAGGAGAAAGCAGGCAGCTTTGAGTGAGGTTATAGAAACAACATGGCATTTTATTTTCCTTTTAGTGTTACTGCAGCTATATTCAGCCCTGGAATGCTATGGCTGTATCAGCCTCGGGCCCCCTGCAGCGCTGGTATATGTGCAGGTGGGTAGGCAGCACTGAGCCACCCTTGCTCTGAGACATTAGGTCTCCGCCTCAGATGTCTGTGTAAGCATTTGTGGGGCACACTAATGGGCAGTCAGTTGTTTGATGCCTGTAGATAGGAGAAGTTCTGCGAAATCTGATTACGATTTTTTATTAAAAATCCTGCTACTTTATGGGTTGGTTTTAAACCTCTTCAGCCCTGGAGGAATGTCAGTGTACTGAGGAATGCACCTTAATGTGAACTGAAAGTTGCTACCTCATGGCGTCTGCCAGTGGAATTTTGCTCAGATTGATTCCTACAGGTATCCATTAAAAACATCGGAGATAATAACTGGTATTGTCATCAACAGACATAAATGAGGTCTGGGCTGATTCTTTTTTCTTAGCAGATGCTTCTTCCAAAAGAAGATGAAGACTCAGTGGCTGAGCAGCAGAGATCATCTTGCCCTGCTAGGGTTTTACTAAGAAATCTTAAGTAGCTTTTTTTTTAATTAAAAAAAAAATTATTTCAGAAGACACCATTTCAGAAAAAGTAATTCAGTTACATGTCACTAAATATCTGGCTTGCAGAGAAGTTGTCACATGATTCAGTTTTCTCATGCAGTTTAGAGAATTAATTGCTTTTCTGAATTTGTCACACCCCTCTGCATCTTCTGAACATTTCACCATCCAGTCCCTGCTACGTGTGTCCTTTCTATGAACTTTTAAGTAAAACTTGGATGTATTGACGAAGTATTAGGAAAGTGTTTGATGTAAAAATGTAGATTTTGTTCCAAATGTTTTTTTAATACCATTCTTTCTCTTTCCAGCACTACCAGCTCAACTGCAAGCAGTTGCGATACGGAATTTACAAAGGAGGATGAGCAGCGGCTGAAGGATTACATCCAGCAGTTGAAAAATGACAGGGCAGCAGTGAAACTGACAATGCTGGAGCTGGAAAGCATCCACATTGATCCCCTTAGTTATGACGTTAAACCTCGTGGAGACAGCCAGAGGCTAGACCTGGAAAATGCAGTCTTGATGCAGGAACTTATGGCAATGAAGGTATTTTATTTATATCCAACAGGCTAACTGACAGTGTCCCTGTGCTACAAAACATACTCAGTCACACACATGGGAGACTTTGTCAGTGATGACTGGGTAATAAAAGGTTACTTTGTTGAAACAAGTAATCAGGGCTGAAAATCCAGTAGTCAGAAAGTGACAGAAGGCAGTGGGTTAACAGTGACGAGCTATGTATGTTTTGAATTAGGTGAGAACTTCATCCCTGGCTCTAAACTTGGAATGCTCTCCTTGACAAACCAGCTGCTCTCTCTAAGAAATATGGCATCTGAGTTGCTTGAGGGTGACCAAAAGGATGATAAAGAACTTCCCAAGAGACAGTTCATTACTTTACTTACAAGCTTGCGAGTGTGCATCTTGAATATTTGAACTGAAGCAGAACAAATTCACCTCGTTTTAATATTGCCATGAGAGGAGGAATGGTCTGTCAGAAGCTGTCATCCCTAATGCTCTCTAGCAGTCGGTCACAAGTCCAGAGCTGTTCTAGGCACTGTGTTGCAATCTGTAGCTCAGTTCAGCGCCCAAGGAGAGACTATGTGCTGTAATGACTTGCAGTAACAGAGGTTAAAACTCCAGTTACTGGGGCCTGGTTTATACATCCAGTTGTAAAGATATGATCTAGAAAAACTGACTTTTATTGACCAGGTGCAGAGCTTATATAATTTTAAGTCTGCCATCTGTATTGACTTTGAGAGAGGTGAACTAAAACATAGGAACCTATTAAAAGCAATACAAGCATGTGTCTGCATTTAGAAATTGTCTGGTTTTGGTTCAGTGTAGATAAGTTCAAATTCTGCATATTAGCAAGTCCTGTTTTAGTCAACTGATGGCAGATATGTCAGATGGTGGTGTCATGTGGGGCAACAAATCCTAATAATTTCATAAGCTTATAAAGCTGTGGATTCTTGTTCAGATGTACTACTGGTGGCTGACTGGTAGCTTAGTAATGATAATTATATTCTTCTTATATGGTGATGCTGCCTTTCCATGATGACAAATATAATTTTGTAATAATGCATTCAATATTTCCAGTTCAGAAAAAAAAAGATTGCCTGCTTCCATCCAGACAATTTAAAGTTGTGTTAGTTGTTTGAAGATACCGTGGCCAACAGCAATATATTCCCCATAATTAAAGCATGCAAGATACAGTGGAAGACATTTGTAGGTAATTAGATGTGTGTTTCAGATATCACATTCCTTTCTCTTCTTTTGCATCCAGATCTTCCTGAAATCTCCTGTACACCATTCTTACCTCTATCTTTAAATTGACTGGTAAAGTATTGATAAAGGCAAACTGCAGAGCTGTCCCTTGTGATTAGTGCCCTTGCATTCACTTCACCTGGCAGGAACACCAACGGTTGCATATCATAATTTCTGGCACAGTTTTGAGTGCTGGTAATCCTTTTGTTCACTAAATTAATATATAATTTGGTTTTGAGATATGGTGTCTACTCATGATTTTTGGCTGGACCTAGCACATTGGGTTTTCACTGCAGTAATTGTCATAGAATCATAGACTCATAGAATGGTTTGGGTTGGAAAGGACCTCAAAGATCATCGAGTTCCAACCCCCCCTGCCATGGCCAGGGACACCTCCCACTAGCCCAGGTTGCTCAAAGCCTCATCCAGCCTGGCCTTGAACACCTCCAGGGATGGGGCATCCACAGCATCTCTGGGCAACCTGTTCCAGTGTCTCACCACCCTCACAGTAAAGAATTTCTTCCTAATTTCTAATCTAAATCTGCCCTCTTTCAGTTTATAATGGTTACCCCTTGTCCTGTCACTACACTCCCTGATAAAGAGTGTTTCCCCATCTCCCTTGTAGGCCCCCTTTAAGTGCTGGAAGGCTGCTAATAGGTCTCCTTGGAGCCTTCTTTTCTCCAGGCTGAACAACCCCAACTCTCTCAGCCTGTCATCACAGGGGAGGTGCTCCAGCCCTCTGATCATTTTCGTGGCTCTCCTCTGGACTTGCTTCAACAGGTCCATGTCTTTTTTATGTTGGGGTCCCCACATCTGAACACAAAACTCCAGGTGGGGTCTCACGAGAGCAGAGTAGAAGGGGGAGAATCACCTCCTTCGACCTGCTGCTATTGCTTCTTTTGATGCAGCCCAGGACACGGTTGGCCTTCTGGGCTGCAAGCAAACACTGCCAGCTCATGTTCAGCTTGTCCCTAGAAGAAGAAGAAGAAGAAATCTTTCTTCTTGGTTGGTTTGTCTGCAATGCATACTGAAATAGACACACATTTTACAGATGTCACTTTCAGTGCTTTCTGGTACAAAGAAACTGGCAGTACTGTTATTCATTATAATTTGTTGTACTTTGCTGGAATTCACAGCTGCAGGAAGTCCCTAGGTTTCTGAAAGGGATATGGTGAAAACTCAAGTTTGTCAAAGTTTGGAATGGATTTGTTGATAAGTCCTCTCCTGCTACAGAAATGGAAAATTCCTGCCTCTCTTCTATGCATAAAGCGTTACAAAAGGTGCAGCTACACTGCGTGCTTTGTTCTCAAGAGAATGTGCTACCTTATTAGCATCCATGGTTGTTGCTTAGGTCTGCATTACACCTGGCTAGTATGTTCAGCAAGATATAACATAGCTGAACCTCAGGGCAAGACTCATGAATGCATTGGCTTTCCAAGTGCATTGTTTGTATCTATTGTTTGGAATATGTACCTTATACAGAATCGCGTATGCATCTGCCTACTCCTGAGAGAACTAGAGAATTTAAATTTCCTTGCAGTATCTTGTTTAACTTGAAGCAGATGGACTCATCTGTGCTGCAGAGGACTTCGTGTAGCAACTCTTAATTTGTTCCCTCCCTTCCACATTCTTAGCAAGGATGGTACATCTTGATTGAGCTACTCAAGGATTTCCTGCATTTCTGGGTCTTACAGCCTGCTGCTGTCTTCCTGAAACTTGCATCTCTGTTAGAATTTCTGCTGCATCTTTTGGCGCTTCTCCTTTAAGACTTCCAGTAAATATTGATCACTACGTCAGTCATACTGCTTCTGGCATCTATGTGTTACACTGATAACGTTCTGAAAATGCTTTTACACCATTTGTTCTTCATTATTGATGAAAATGATCCATAAAAAATAGTTTGGGGATGGTTTCTTTGTTGCCCTGTTTATTTTTTTTTACTGATCCAGAGTGTAAGATGTAGTGGTCTGCCAGTACTTCTGTAAAATCCAGTTCTTCGCTTCAAGCAATAATTTGCCATATTTCCAGATATATTCTCATCTGCAGTTTGTCATCATTCAGCAGTCTTGCTTTGAGGTCAGTTTTTGTCATGCCCCAGTTAGCAAGGAGATTACTTCTGATGGGTGTAAATAATTCTTGGTTTACAGGCTTTTTTGCATTTCAAAGGACTCAATCTAGATAAGAAGTCTCAGCTTTCTACACTGGTAATTTTTCCTCTTTTGTGTACAGGTGGTGATAATATTGCTCATGATGTGCTTTGAGACAACAGTCTCTTTGCAGAAGGTGTTAAGAATCTTGTTATCCACCTTTGTTCCAACATTTCATGCTCTTAGAGATGTTTATAGTAAAATACAGTTAACTATAGTATGGCATTTTATGCTCTGGTGTGTTTTAGTTCTGAAGGCTGCTATATTCTACCTTGTGTACTGTCATCCTCCTGGAGTCCTTTTTCATGACTTTTAGAACTTTTTGCCACATAAGAGTCCTTGCTGCTTTATTCTGACGTGACCACACCCAACACAAATTTTGATTTTGAGGATGCTGTGGTGTTTATCATTGTACTGAGTCAAGAGTGTTTCATTTTCATTCAAGTTTTCACCCAAATTCAGAATTACAATATGACTGCAAGAACAAAATATTCCTCAATTTTCAATTAATTAGTCGTGAAATAACTGCTAGATTTGGTACTTGGAGCTTGTGAATTTGCGTAGATTTTGTAAGTCTTCTGCAATCAACTGGAAGAGTGACCATGTGCTACCTCCTCCTTTGGGGTTTCATTTTGTAAATGCCCCTTGTACTTGAGGCCCACACCCTGAAGAAGCAGATAATAAAAGCAGACAATAAACTGCAAAATGTTTCACCAGCATCCTGTAATTAGGAAAAAAGGGGATAGTAAATATACAAAGGTGATGTTGTCATTTAAATGAAATTTAGTCTCTATCTTTAGAAAACATTTTCGTGGAAAAAATTACTGTGTATGTGAAGACTGACTCGCTAAGTAAACCTGAGCTACTTAAATTTTCTCACATTAATTGTTACTGTTGCCACCCTGCCTCACAGATTCTATGTGTCCATACCAGAATCCTCAACTGTAGTTTTAATATTTAACTTAAACTTTTCTGTTCCTTCCTGTTCCTTCCCTGGGAGCCTCTGTAACTTGCTGGCTGACGGTCCTTCCACTTTTCCCCTGCGTTGTCTTTGCTTCTCTGCTTCAGTCACATTGTCTTGACATGAGAAAACTAATGTATAGAGGGTGCTTTTGGAGTCCATGATGTGCCTTCTGGGACAGGATGCAAACTTGTAAATTCATAAATTATGTAAGCTTACGGTCTTTATAGACTAAGGAGTCTACCACTGATCCTCCAATTTATTTTGAGCTAGGATATGTATTACAAACAAATATCCAGTCTTTAAGTTAAAACTTGTAAGTTGTGGGAGAAATCAGTTCCACAGATAGATTGTTACAGTCAATTAAATTCACCTTTTTGTTTTAGGAAATAAATGTCCCTTATTTCTAGGCTGAATTTGCATAGCTTCAACTTCCAGCCTGGGAAGGTCTTGTAGTGACCCTCCCACACAGATAGGCCTCTCTCAAGAGTATCTTGTATTCACATAAGTGCCAAAATACTCTGCTCAAATTACTTCTCAGCCTTCACTAAGCAGGCTAGGTAGATTAATGCCTTTAGAAACAGAGGCTTAAGAAGCTAAATGCATACACTTAAGTATACCAGACAATCCAGTTCAACTCCTGTAACTAAATTTCCTCATCGTTATTTATCAGTGGTATTTACATTTTTACTATTGACAAAGGAAATTAACGGTAGGTTTGCCTAACAATTAAATTTCTATAAACCACATTGAATGAAACTGATTGTGTTTCTAACCTTCATTTCACAAACAAGTAGATGAATACATTAATTATTTTAAAGCTCATACAAACCTTTCTAAGCCTGAGGGTTTTTAGGATATGGATTTTATTTTTGCATGGTTGGTAATTCTGAATAAGCCGATCATTATCTGCGATTACTATATGCTGGTTGTAACTGTGCTGCACCTGTATGCACTGCTTGCACTTAATCCAGACAGCAAATTTTTAGTAGGAAAGCAGATTCTCTTCTACAGGAAAAGTTAGTCTAAATATATACCAAGATCTGTGTTTATATGATCTTTGTTAATAATGGGTATAATACAAAGAGCATTATTTTTGAAGGATAAGGTAAGATACCTCTGATGTTTTTGTGACTAGAAAGTTTTTTGTTTACAATAAATAATTTAAAAATAGTTATTTGTTCCTAGGCTAGCCACACATCAAGAAAGTTATGTCTTTCAGAGATGTTTACACAGTGAACAAGTCTAGAACTGAACTGTAATACAAGAAAATGACTGCATGAATTCAGTATTCACCCATGAGGTGACCTAGGGCATGACAAGCTCAACAGTAAGAACATGATTCTGCATTGGGTTTTTTTAACACATGATGTAAACTGTGCTTTAGGACTATCTCTTTAAATGTTTTGTGGATGCTGGGTTTTCCTCTGTTCAGAAAATAACTAGATATTTTGTGGAAGAAACTTTTCTGAAGTGCTGTTAAACACAAAGAGCCTTCTGGTTCAGGATACCCATTATCTGCTTTTCATGGGAAGCTGGGCGGAAGTGCTGAAAGAAGGGTCACTCTCTGCACTCAAGCCTTTTTCTTGCACTTCTGCTCACCACTGTCAGAGCAGATGTTAAAGCAGAGTTCTGTCCCCAGATAGCAGTTGTATTACAGTGACAAGCCCTGTCATAAATATTAGAGGGGCAGAAGAATTACACAAAAGAACTAGCTCTCAGAAGTGAGCTTCTTCAGTGTCCATCTTCTGAGGATCATATAAGAATATAAGCAAGTACAATTTTGTAAACCTTCATATATAGTTATATAGTTAGGATTCTGGCCATTTAGAGGAGGGAAGTTAAAAATGGACATCCGATGGTGCCATACCCAGTTGCCTTTTTTTACTAACTTATTCCACCAGAGGCTGGTATGAGGAGGCAGGAATATGTGGTCTGTTTGCTGTCCTAGTCCCTCAGACCTATTCCACTGTAATGAGATAAGCCAACTCTAATTCTTATGTATCAGTAAGAAACGGGAATCTGGCATTTAGGGAGCTGTTTGACAAGAAAGCCAGACACTCCTGTTTTTAGGGCAATGGTCTCTGAAGGGCGAGGTAGAACCAAAGAAAATTCAGCAGCTGTGGCAACCTTCTCAGATCCCTGGTACTCTAGTTTCAGCACCACATTAGCTGCTTTGTTGCCTCTGAGCTGATTTCTGAGGCTGATTAAGGGATGGCACAGCTCATCATACTCACTTAGTGTCAAGATATACTGGTCTTTTGACAAATATACTATGTGATTATAAAAAGCTTTCTGGATGCTAATAGTGTTCTCCATGTAAAAAACACTCGGTTAATAAGAGTGGAGGAAAACCTTGTTTAACCTTGTCTTCCTTTTGGTATGTAGTCACATCAAACAGCATACTGGTAATGTTTCTTCAACAGGAGGAGATGGCAGAGCTCAAGGCACAGCTTTACCTGCTAGAGAAGGAGAAGAAGGCATTGGAATTGAAACTGAGCACTCGAGAGGCCCAGGAGGAGGCCTACCTTGTCCATATTGAGCACTTGAAGTCTGAAGTGGAAGAGCAAAAAGAGCAGAGAATGAGGTCCCTCAGCTCAACCAGCAGCGGAAGCAAAGACAAATTGGGCAAGGTCAGGAATCAAACAAGTTTCCACAATCACTGTAAACATGATTTATTCTGCACTTCCTCTCCCTCTAGCAGTCTTTAGCATGTTAATAGTTCTCCTCTCTTTTGTCTATGTGTATGTCTATATGTAACTGCGAGTGGTCAGGTGGTTCTTTCCATGCTGTGATTTACGAGGATTTTGCAGAATTACCGTTAAGCCTGGGCTAAAATAAAGTTGTAATTTTGAGGAGTACAACAAAGCCATTCTTGCCAAACGTACAAGCTACTGTAGTTGAACATGTGTCTTGCCTGCTGCCATTCACCGGAAACAGTGGAAGACAGTCTAAACAAAACACTGTGCTCCCCCAACTCCAAACACAAAGTATGAAAAAATAGAGCTCATTTCTTTGAAGCAGTTAGAGTGTTGTAATGACAGTCTCTTTTCCCAAGTCGGACAGTTTGTAATGATTTGAGGATGAAGACTTTTTCCCTGTTAGCATAATGCAAAATAAACAGATTTCTGGATTTACATTAATAATTTGCATGAATAAATACCTAGAAAAACTTCAGTCCTTTTATTTTAGTGCAGAGTTCACAGAAAACCTCAATAATACATTTAAAAACAAAATCCAGAGTTACTGTATAGCTGTCGCTTTTCTTATTCGTTTCTGGCAAACCATCATCTGAATTGTTTGATCCAGTTCTTCTTTGTTTCAGCTGTGGTGTCAAAACTAATAAAAGGCACCAGCAGTTTTGCACACCATAGCAGAATTACGAAAAACAGTGAGCTGTGGTGGTTTAGGAGACGTTTAGAAGGATTTGTGAGTTGTTTTGTTAGTCCATTTCTTGATATGTTGGTACACGACCGTGTTGTGACATTGTGGTGTTTATTTCACCTCCATTTTAGAAGTATCTGCGCAATAAGAGTTTTTCAGAGTTTTCCCATTAAGATGGCAAGTAACTTTAAATTAGATGGCCTTTCCTCATTTCTCAGGAATGCAGTGATGGCACCACAACACCATTAACACTAGCTGAGCTGAGACCGTACAACGAGGGTGAACTGACTGCTGAACTGACAAACGCACTCAGGCGGTAAGCAACTTCCTTCAGTAGAGACATGACTTATTCTGTAGATGGCAGCGCGAGGTTGAGTTCTGAGCCTTTGCTCTTAACCCTCGTGATTTTTAAGACTGAGAAGGAAAGGGAACATTCGTCTAACCTTCCTCTCTCTTTTGCTGTTGTTCTTCAGTTCATTAAGATATTCTTCACCTTCACATGGTGAATGAAGCTTTGCATGAATGAAGCTCCATTCTCCTTGAGGTTCTCTAAAATTCAGATTAACTTTATCCTTGAGAAAACCCTCTAAAGGTCAGGAGTGTCCATATTCAGGCAAGAATATGAGACACAAAACAGCCACGTGACTTGCTTGAGGGCATGCAGAAAACCTCTAGCGAAGACAGGATTTGAAGTGTGATCTTTGGTTAAGAAGGTTGGTCGCAGATTAGAACTTGGGTGGGAGTTGCAGGAGTGGGAAATGCAGTGATTTTGATGACTCAGGTGCTGCATTTGCCTCCGGAGTATGTAAGTAGAGGCACAGTTCAATTACAAATGACATTGTTATGTGAAGCATTAGCTTTCCAACAAGAGAGAAAATTGATGTCTTGACAAATGGCTTTTTATCAACAGCCAGGTTTTAAGCCGAAGCTTTCAGTACAGTTATACATTAACTACGTATGTGTTTGTGCAGCAGTTTTTGCTGCACCAACTGTGTGGTAAACTTCATGACAAAGATGTTCACTGGTTTGATAGTTGTTTCAGTACTTGTTCCACCTTTTCTAAGGCATAGATACCTAATATCTAATCTGGTTATTGTATTTAGAACCTGTCCAAAATGCTACCACAAATTTTGTCTGGGGATAGTGTACTTTTTTTTTCTGGTGTTTGCATCCTCTTTAATGGTGGAATGTCCTCTCAGGCAGCTATAGTGTTTCCTTCCTGAACTGCTTTTTTCATAGGTGCAACTTGCAGTGTGCCTAGGGACACTTAAGCCTGAAAGGCATTATGTAAAAATGTCAGATCATTACCACTGCAGAATCAAATCAATACATCTCCTACCATTTACGTGGTTTGCTGACAACACAGAGAAAAAACCTTTGCTTTATCTAGTAGGTCTTAAGTTGATTAGCATGGCTTTCCAGCCAGGGGCCAAGCAAGTACAGTTTGTCAGGCAGAAATGGGGAAGAAAAATAATCGAATTAGTCTGTAAATAAATTTTGGAGTGAAGACTCTCTGTGTAATGGAAATACGACTGTGCTAAATGTGATTGCTACTGCCAGTGGGGCTCAAGCACAGTTCCTGCAAGCTGTGTGAACAGGGTATTTTACTCCCTAGTCGGTGTGCCAGCCAAATCAGACTGAATGCTTAGTGTCCTTATCCTAAAGTCTGCTCTCTGAAAGTCAGTAGAAGGTCTGTCTAGCACATGGAAGAAGCTTACTGCAACCTGTTTAGCCACAGCTATGCTGAAAAATACCAGCAGTTCTTAACTGCTGTCCTGTGTAAATGGAGCCTCAGATATCACAATGAAATTTATACCATCGTGGATCTGCAAAAGAGTTCTAAAAATAATCGAAGTGCATTTTCCTCTCTGCAGTGCTAGAACAGTGCAGAACGGTCTGAAGTGACTGTGATATCTTCAGTGACAAACTGGATTTAACTCTTTGCACTTAGCACGTGCCTGTCACTCAATGCTCTTCCCACTTGAATGGGAAAACAAGTGCTGGCACTGTGTGTGAACCAGGAGAGATCCTGGTGGCTCCCCTTAGCACCCTCATCACCCACCAAAGAAGCAAGACCAGAATTCAAAACAAATAAATATTTTGCCCAGTAACTGTGTTTGCTGGGGGGGCAGGAGGGAGATGTGAAACAAGTCAATATTGCACGGTGAATCTGTGGTCTAGAGGCAGTATTTATATGCCAGTGTTCAACTATTTCAGTGCTGGTTGCACTTAGCACACACATCCAGCAATTGGACCTATCTGTTGTTACTCCAGGCAGTAGATACTGGTGCAGGGGACAGCAGCTGCAAGGACAGGGCAAAAATCCATTTGCTTTTGAGTCTTTCTGTTTGTCAGAGAATGTGGTATCAATCAGCAGCACCACTTGCTGCTGCCCCTCCATCCTGTCTTCACAGAAACAAAAACCCTGGCAGCTCCCTGCCCTGCTCCTTTTCCATTCTGTACTTCTGTTGCTGCAGAACTGTCAGGTTCTTCTCAGTTAATTGAAATAGTGTGAAACCCAAATAAAACAGCAGGATGCAGTTACAGTTTGGATTTTGGTGTGGTTTGGAAGCATTTATAGTTCATAGTCTGCAAATGGCTTTGCAGCAGAACAGTCTCATCCACAGAGGTAGCCTGGCTTCTCTGTGCTTGTGTGGATTTTCTGATAGATCTGGAATCCAGCAGTGTGTTGTGAAGCTCCTCGAGTTGTCATTGTTAGTACCCATCATCAGAAATTCAAGGCAGGAGCAATTCTTCATTTATTTTTTCATAATGTACTTGTTCTAATAGGACTCAGTGTTTCCCATAGCAGTGTTCAGCATTAAACCCACCTTACAGGCTTCCCACATACATCGCTTTTCTTTTCCATGACCACTATGCTAACTAGTAAAAATCTAAATTACCTGGAAGCTCCATGTTGTAAAAGTTACATCTGGGTTACTAAATTTCTGGTATTGCAGGCTAAGGTCACTAATTTAGAGACACATCCTTTTCCAGCCAAGCATAAATAGTTTCTGCCAGGGTCTTTAGCAATTTTGTTTTCCCCTCTCCCCTTTCTTGATGGAATGATGGAAAGTTTCAATGGACATGAAGCCTCTTGAATCTTTTGTTGAGTTTGACGCATCCATTATTGAGCTTGTTGGCAGGAAATACTTTATTCTTGGGAGGGGAAAAATGTATTACCAGCAGCTTCATGGCCTGGCACTGACACCCCAGTGATTGTGCCAGAGGCCAGTTTTATAGGAGAGGAGTGGTTGAATACCCCAAAATTGGGCATATTACAGTCTCTGAGGGTGACCTTAAAATGAAGTCTTCCTTGCTGGTGTGTTCTGCTCTGCTGCAGCAGGGGACGGGAGTGCTGCAGATGGTTTGTATGAGTTTATAAATTAGTAGGTACATACCAGGTTATAAATGCATTAGAGATGGCAGGAAGAAGGCAGTAAGAAGAATTCCAGACAGGAATGCTTTAGCAGGGTGATAATAATGGTGATACAACTTTTTTTTTTTTTTCTACTACATGCTTTCGTTCTGTGAAAAATGTCCAAGCTGGCAAAACTGAACTTCTTCCTTTCCCCAGGCATTATGAGAAAGGCTTTGATGGCTGAGGTCCTCTTCCAGTCTCTCCTTTTATTTCTGGTTGCTGATAGCTTTTCTGTCTGCATAGGGTTGTATTGTGTGTATGTGTTTAGATAATCCTTTGTATGCATTAAAGTATTTGGGCAGAAAGGTTCTGACAATACTAGGTAAGGGCCATGGCAGACAAACCACTTTTTAACTAGAGTGACTGTTCAGACCTCAGCTGGGTCGTCAGTTGGCACAAAATTATGATCTCTGATTGCTCTGCAGGGTTATGAATTGTGTCAGTCTAGGCTTGTTTCAGTGTCTCCTTCATGAAAGGGTGACTTTCCATCTGGCAACACAACAACGGAGCTATATATTTACCAAGTCTGATGACTTTTGAATGGAGAGATAACCTAGTAAGTGGTGCTACTAATTGGGAAGTCACCATGGAGAGGGAAAAGGGTGGTTATCAGTAGGACTGGCAAGCAGTTCTTTTAACAAAAAATACATTTTGCACAGAGATGTGGTCCTGCCTCTCTGGAATTTAAAACTGCAGGTATTTCTAGTAGGACACAGAAAATTCATTCTGTTGCAATAGCTTCCATGTGTCTGTTGAGACACAGTAATGTTCTTTGCAGTCTCAGGTCCTTATGCCTGTCCCAAAACCGCAACCCTGTGTTATGCCAGACTTCTTGTTTTGAGAGAGCAACCGTTTCAACAGAAAGGTGTGCCAAGGCATGACAGTGACTATGTCCTGACACAGTGTCAGTCAGAAATAAATCAAGCCACCTTCCTTTATTTTAAACATCAAACTTCATGTGACGACATCTGCGCTTGGCATGTTTTCAAGGACACCCTTGTTTTTATGATGGCATGATCCAGGAGTAGGTAGAAGCATCTCTGAAATTCAGGCCTATTTTGACCCTCAGTAGGGCGAAGTCTTGGAAATGAAAAGAGGAACGCCTGAAACACATTATGTTGTAATGATTCAGATTTAAAATGGCTCTTAAGAACTGAATCAGTAAAATCCCCTTTCTGCTTGGCCAAAGTACAAGATGAACATAGAGTGGATAGAAGTGGGAAGAGGGAGGTGAAGGCTGGTATTCAGGAGCTACTGATGAGTTTTTCTAGTGCATCATTGGCTCCTTTTTATCAGTTACATTTGCTTATTTCTGTTCCTTCATTATCACGTCCATTACATGGAGAGATAGACAACTCTGAGACATTTGAAAGCCAGAGGCACGGATTGCAGTCATTGCAGATTTCAGGGATCTCTATCTTTTTTATAACTGTGTAGTCTCCTGCTGTGGTTTCCCTTGGCTGCCTTAGGGGTTCAGTAGGCATGGCCTGTCTCTGGAAATCCCCCGTAGATCCCCACTGAGAGAAACCTTTTCCCAAGAAGAGAAATGACTCATGGTGATGTACTGGACATATTACTCAGAAGCGCCTGGGGTAGCTGTTTTGCTACGTGCATCACAGATAACCATAATTTTTCTTTTTCTCTATTTTTAACATGGAAAAAGTAGTTTTCCTTACTGCTGCATGGTTATCTGAACCACTGAGCTGCTGTGCACTTGGCTATAACTGTCACAGGGAGCCCCAAATAGCTCCAGGTCTGGAGAGCTTCCAGGCTGGGCTGGCAGAGCTGGGTGGGAGGTTTAAGCAGCGAGTGTGACAGGCATGCTGCTGCCTCCCTCCAGGCCTATTCACTCTTTTTTGCTGCCTGTCTGGATGATAGGATAGTGAGATGGA